GCGTGGAAAGTGCGCTTCCGCTTTCGCGTGCGTGGATGCAGTGCTGAGCGGGTGCACTTGAGCGGGTGTGCTTACCATCCCCCCCCCCCTCTCGCACACAAGGAAGCCAGTCCTTCCTGGAGCTACATTTCGGGGCAGGCGCACTATTTTGAGTGCTCCTGTGAGACCCAAGCCGCTGCGTGCTCCGACGCTTGAAAAGCTGCGCCCGCACGCTAAGTTGGCACGCGCATGCTTGTGAAGCGACCTGGATGAGTGCAGTTGAAGCCAGGTCCCGCGTGGGTTTTGCAGCTGGATTTCGTAGCAGGCACGCTGTTTTGAGTGGTTTGGAGCCGCTGCGTGCTCCGACGCTTGAAAAGCTGCGCCCGCGCGCTAAATTAGCATGTGCACGCTTCTGAAGCAGCCTGTGAGAGTGCAGATGCGGGGCTGGATTTCGTGGCAGGCGCAGTACTTTGAGCGACCACATGCTCCTGTGAGACCAGAAACGGCTGGAGTGTCCACGTGTGCCGGTGAGACCGAAACCACGTGCTCCTGTGAGGCCCCCACCCAACCGATTGGGGACCAAAGGCCGGGTCTTTCAATCATTGAGTGTCTCTTTCTATGGAAGCTCCCATGTGATTGTGGAAGAACGGAAAGAGCAACGAAAAATCTTGGGAGTCCCCAGTTTTAAGAGACAAGCCCCAGCTGTTGCCCGGCTCGATCCCGGGACACGTTCGGCTTTTCGATTCGGGGTGCGGGGATCGAAGCGAATCGATCGGAGGCTCCTGAGCTTCCCCTACGCCTTCTACCCCCTGTACCTCGCTGGCCAGAGGCACCGAAAACCGCGCGCGAAAACCGCGTGAGCGATGCGGAGCTCCAGGGTATGGATGAAAATACCAGGAGGTGTACCGCAGAGTCTCTTTTTGTCCTGGGAACCCCTTTACCCGGGTTCCGTTTTGGGTACCTGTCTTTTTCTTTTTCACCTGGTCCGAAATCCGAACTGTCCAAAAGTCAATTGTCGGGAGGTGCTGGACTGGGTCTTTCAGGGGTCACTGGATCAAGTACAAAAAGGGACATGGAGAAACACGGTCTTTTGAATTGGAATGTGCGTGGTTTCTTTTTTGTGTCCTTTTGGCTGGTTAGCAAAATACCCATGGGGGGTCCCCTAAACAACAACAACACCCAAATCGTTCGATCTTCTGAAAAGGACCTTGTCAATAAAGTCCACTCGAGAGTTTTTCGGACTATTCACTTTGTTATTGTAAAGGAGGAACTGACTGGCGGGGGTTCCTTTTTCCTTCCCGTTTCATTTTGACCACTTTATTCATAGTTTGTGGAAAACTGGAGCTCCCCTGGAGCTTGATCAAGCATTCATGATGCGAGTTCCACTTTGGCCAAAGGAAGTTCAACAAGAACTTCCGTAGTACTGGAACGAATTGAGCTAGCTCTGTCTAAGAATGCATCTACCTGCGCTTCATCTTCAAGGCTAGATGCACCCGGTGTGTGCTTGGGCATTTTTGGAGTTGGTGCCCTTTGGTTGTGGCTTCTAATGGGCAACCAAAAGGAACACCAGCTCTTTTGTTTTTTTCTTTCCCCGTAGGGGGTCCAATTCCTACACGAGGAGCCACACTCATATGGAAGGCACTGCTGTACCTGACTGCCATGGCATGTAAGTGTTTTATGATGTTGTTTCCTCTGACACTGTAGAATTGCTGTGTCGTTCTGGCTGTGACATCCTCAAAGATACCCGAGCTAAGTGGCGGTGTCGAAGGACTCAAACCTCCAGGACCCATCAAATACAACAACTTTGGGCTCACTTGTTTAAAAGGACACTCAAACAGAGAAAAAAAAGAAAAGAAAAACAACGCAGGAAGCCACTCCATGGTGAGAACTCGCAGGAAGCCACTCCATCTGGTTCCTTGCGCGTGAAAACGCTAAGGTGGACAACGCGAGGACAGGGGAATAGAAGCGGGCCGAAAACGTGACCCTGTGCGTGAATTCGGTCCTTCGGCGAGCCACCTTGATCGCGACGCCTGACAGAGGCGGTCTCGGAGCGGGCTGGGAGTTGGTGCTGAGTTGGTTCGCAGACTTGGCCCATTGGCACGGCCGCGCGCACTGCTTCGCAGCTTTGCCCGGATCCCTCGCGCAGTCGCAGCTTTCAAGAAGTGAACCTGCGGAGCGACTGTTGAAGTACACGATGCGCAAATGTGGCTTGCGAACGTTAGCCTCCCTCGGCTCGGTATACTTGCGCGACGCTTTGCGTTTTGCCATGTCGGACTTTTGCCAGTCTCGGCGCAGAAGGTGCACTCCTTGATTTGAGCTTGGCTGTGTGCTTTTCTTCCGGTCATGCAGAGCAGTGAGTTACTGTCATTTCAAAGCTGGATGCACTGCACAGTTGCTTATGATGGGCTCGCGTACGTCTTTGCCACTTGCTGATGATGCGAGTTTGGCCAATGATTATGTTTGTCCCCAAAGCGGGCAAGAGGCATTTGAGATGAATGGATCGCTTGTGTTCGATTCTCGCCTCGCTCACGCAACCTTCTGCGGACTTACAGGGGGTCGACCTGAAATAACTTTCGTTTACCAGATGACTTTCGTTGGGTCGACCCCACAAATCAGTTTGTTTTACTTTGGTGGGTTGGGGGAGGGGGGAGGTAGGGGGCGAGCGAGAGAGGGAGCGAAAGAGAGAGAGAGAGAGAGACAGAGAGAGAGAGAGAGAGAGCGAGAGAGAGAGAGACAGAGAGAGAGAGAGAGAGAGAGAGAGAAGAGAGAGAGAGAGAGCGGGAGAGAGCGAGAGAGAGAGAGAGAGCGAGAGAGGCCAGAGAGAGGAGGGCGAGAGAGAGAGAGAGAGAGCGAGAGAGAGAGAGAGAAAGAGCGACAGAGAGAACGAGAAACAGGAAAACAAGAGAGCGGACACGAGCAAGAGAAGAGAGAAAAGGGGTAAAGAAGCGTGCCCCAAACTATATTTCTTGTATATTCTCGAATCTTCCGCCCTCTTGCTCTGCTGGTTTTAGTGGTATGTCAAAGAGGGTATCTTCCGGAATCATATTAATGAACCCAGGTGCTGGTGGAAAGGTTGGCCACGACAGTCTGCCTCGGGAACCAGCCAGACGTCGCCGCAGGGTGTGGTGTCCTTCCATTCATTTCAGAACGAAGCCAGCATGGATCACATATCCTCAGCCTTTGGAGGGATCCTCAAAAACCTTTCGAAAAGGAGGCCACCATGCAGCATCCTTGAAATCCAGTGTCTCTGAGCGTGGACGTTTGAAAACGCAATCAACGGCATCACCATGTTTGGGACTTTGTGGATTTCCGGAAACAGACTGGTTACCGGTTTTTGCCGTCCACCAGCAAATCCCGACGCAGGATTCTGGACAAAGTGACCCTGGCCAAGGTCAAGATTTTGAAGGATGACCAGGAGAAGTCAGAGTCAAATCTTGGCTGTTCTTTGTTTGGCGGCTCCCTTCCCAGTCAGACCCTTGGGCTTTGTGAGTTAAGAGCCCTTGAACGGATGCATGATAAGCCCCACTAAACGTTTAGCAGTTTTGCGGTGGATCAATGAACTGCGCATTTTGTTTGGTTTGATCTTCATTCTTTGTTTTTTGTTTTGTGCTGGGGGGGGGAGGGAACGAGTGCTGCCCACCACAAAGCGTGATTTTCTGCAGGAGACAGATCGGATTTTGTTTAAATACTAGATTTCCTTTTCCAAGAGCACATTCCTGGTGTTGACGCGCATCTGTCATGATCGTTTGCCACATGCGTGCGCAGGGCACACCCTATCAACCCTTCAATCGAACTTCTGACGAGGAGTTTTGCCCGAGGTGAAGTTGTTGCTTCAGCAGACACAATGTTGGAGTGCTGACTGTCACAACCCGCCTTGCAGGATTTGGACAGATATGGCAATGCCTACTGGAGTGCCTTGGCATTGCAAACAGCCTGCCGCCCGACACCATCCCCTACTTGCAAGAGTGGCATTGTCCTTTCTTCATTGCTTGTGCAGAAGGGTTCCTTGACATGGAGCGCCCAGAGGGAATCGACTTCATGGCCCTTTCTTTGTCAACTTGGGGTCCACGGATTGGTTTCTCATTTTTGATTTGAGATCTTTGGTATGCGTCTCTTCAGGGGTGGAGGAGGCTGCGCAGCCCCCTTTTCGGGGACACGCATGTCGTCTGAAGGCATGTGACTTGCCATCTAGCCATTCTTCGGTTCGTTTGTGCTGCTTGGCATGAAGGGACGCGCCAAAGACGACAGCGGCACAACAACAACTGGTTCTCAGGGAAATGATTTAGCTGAGTGTATTCCGAAATGGTCAATTTGAAGTCCCAAATAGGACACTGACGGAACAGTTGAGACTTGAGCATACCGCTTTGATCAAACTATTTGGGATCTCTCACTTGGGAACAAGGGTGTTTGGAATGAACTGCTACTGCAGGGATCAAGGAAACCAAAAGGGCTGGTTGAGTTTTGAGTCAAACCAAGTCGTTCACTACCGACCAGCCAGAAACGCGGGATCTGTGAACCAGATGCTCTTTCAGGCCCGTAGGTGTTGAAGGCGCCCCCCTGTGTGAATCCTACGCTCCGAAAACAGGTTTGGATGACTCACGAGAACAGCCTTTTTGTCGCCAAGGGTCGGCATTGGGTTGCGGATCTCCCATCCGGCGTTGGCGAGTGCTGAAGCCGGGCATGACAAGAGACATGTTCATGTACCTTTGGGCATCCAGACTCATTCCTGACGGGCCAGGGAACCAGCATACGGCTTGTGTTTGGGTTTCAATGTCTAGGGTGTTCCTGGTAACCAGGTGTTCAAAGTTCGAACAATTGCCATGGCCTCTGCATGGAGTTGTCCACTCGAATTGGACTGTTGCGAAACGAAACCACAAACCAAACGGAAAGCAGAGATAAGCCGAACACCTTCGGAGGGGCCCGAGATCCGCACACCAGCGTAGCTGATTTCGGAGTGACGGATTGGCTTTTCTGGGCTTCGGATTCCAAGTCTTCACGACGTTTGGCCCAGTCGGAGCTTCATGGCCTCCTTGCCAGTGGAGCAACTGGCCCAGTGCTTGCTGCGGCAAGGCGCAGGCAATACTTCCTCTCGAACCTCGCGGGCGGGTTTTGGCAGACTCCCCCGCAGCTTGCGGAAGGACACCTTGGGCGAGACGGACCTCCGCCTCGTCTTGCGGAGGCAGTGGAGCGTGCTGCCCTGGCGCCTGGCCATGCGCAAAACGCCGCGGCGCGCGCGCCAGGCGGCGAGGCGCTGGGCGTCTTCGGAGATGCTGCTGCAGCCGCTCCCAGTCTTCGACCTGCTGAGAGCCGCGGGGGCCGCGGCTGCGGGGGCCGCGGGGGCCGCCGCGGATCGCAACGTGAGCCGCGCAGCGGGGGTGGGGGGTGAGCTCTTGCGCCTCCTCAGGCAGGAAGTCGAAGGGCTGTGGAGAAGGCTCGTAGAGCGGGACGCTCGTCATGAGGACCTCCAGTCTTTGCAGAGACGTTATTGCGTGGGCCAGGCATCACTGTTACGGCAGCTGGAGGCATTGTCGGATTTGGACACCTGGAAAGCAGAAGACGCCTTCTGGCTGGAACATGGGACCACGACAGGACTTTGGGATGAGATGGAGATGCTTGGCAGGGACCCCTGTGACCCAAGCTCATAGGAAAGAGTCGATTGCACAACCGGTTCGAGTTGTTGATGTGGCCACTATGTCTGGAAGGTGGCTGTTTGTGCTCACCTGGCAATTCGACGCCATTCGTGATGTTGTTGTGTGTATTTGTCTGTTTCTTTGTTTTTGTTTGTTTGTTAGTTAGTTTGGGTTAGTTAGTTAGTTTGTTAGTTAGTTAGTTTGTTTGTTTGTATTGTATGTAGCTATGTTTGCTTGCTTGCGTGGTTCTTGCTTTCTTTCTTTCTTTCTTTATTTATTTCTTTCTTTGCTTTCTTTCTTTGTTTATTTATGTCTTTCTTTCTTTCATTATTAATTCCTCTCCTTCTTTCTTGCTTTCTTTGTTTGTTCGCTTGTTTGTTTGCTTGCTTTGCTTGTGTTGTTTTGCATTGTTTTGATTTGTTTGTTTTGTTTGTCAGTTTCTGTGTCTGTCTGTCTGTCTGTCTGTTTGTTGTTTGTTTGTTTGTTTGTTTGTTTGGTTGGTTGCTTGGTTGGTTGCTTGGTTGGTTGGTTGCTTGGTTGGTTGGTTGTTGTGTATGTATGTATGTAACGTATGTATGTAATGTAATGTAATGTAATGTAATGTAATGTAATGTAATGTAATGTAATGTAGTGTAATGTAATGTAATGTAATGTAATGTAATGTAACGTAATGTAATGTAATGTATGTATGTAATGTATGTATGTAATGTAATGTAATGTAATGTAATGTAATGTAATGTAATGTAATGTAATGTAATGTAATGTAATGTAATGTAATGTAATGTAATGTAATGTAATGTAATGTAATGTAATGTAATGTAATGTAATGTAATGTAATGGAATGTAATGTGTGATTAGCCATGCATTTCAGGTGACTACCGGCATGTTGCGATAGCAACTATCCGGTGCCACTTTGGCTCAAGTTTGCGGGTCCGTCGCGCCTCGGATGAGCGTCGCCGGGTCCCCGCGTCGATCACCTTCGTGTCGGTGGAGAAAGAGACATCGGCCCGGGGCAGATTGGTGGGGTCCGCCCGTGCGGTTCATCGTCGATCAAGGTTGCGGGTACTTGTTTACTTGTTTTGGTATTTTCCCTTTTGGTTGTTGTTCTCTGGTGTGTGGGAAACCCTGATCTTTGGGACCGGGGATTGGTTTGCTTTTGGGGAACCTTTCTTTTGTGGCTTGTTTACCCCAACTTACCCATTGCCTGGGCACAGGCTCGTGCCCGAATCACAGGTTATCAGCCGTAGGACTTTCCTACGCGCTTGAGACCATCAACTACAAGCTCTATGTCGACCCCACGATCCCGGAGGAGCGTCGTGGATGAGGAGGCCATCCTAGGGGGCCTCCGCTCAGGTGAGGACCTACCGGACTTCGATTATGAGGATTTCGAAGCAGGTTCGGCAGGTCAGGACCGCAGGGGTGAAGATCCCGGTAGGGACACACCCAGAAGCCGTGGCAGGTACACCGACGATGGAGATGATCGCATTTTCCGTCAGGCCACTGATGATGAGCAGACACGAAGGGTTCGCTCCGATAGGAGCGGCTCTGAATCAGGTCACAGGCGCGGACAGTTCGACTTCATCAGCATGGCGATGAACATGGCCCGCCCTCATTCGGACGACCCGGAGGCCATGCCGACCCGACCCCCGAGATCTCTTGTTCCAGGTGAATCGCAGGTCTCGGATGAGTTTGAGGACAGGCCGCAAGGACCAGGGACTATGGTTTTGGCTCCGAGAGATATCTCGGGTCGATCCACTGGTTCTCAAAATCCAGGTCAGTTTGATGAGCACGAGGAGCGGAAATTCACAGGTTTCGGATACGATGCTCTGTTGAAATCGACCGCAGGCTGGGGCAGTAGCTCAAAGCAGGGATCTGATGCCGATAGGCCCAACCCCATACTGCCAAGTCTGAATTTTATGATGGTGAAGATTACAACTTTGCGGATGAGGAGGAGGACCAATCACGCCGAAATGCTAGGATCCGTGCTGCTGCGAGGCCCAGGAGTCTCTCTCGTGGAGCAACCAGGGACCTTCGTGTTGACAGGGATGCCCGGAGCGAGAGAGAGAGCCAGAGATAGCCGGGAAGTTCTTCGGGGATTGGAGGCCATCCATGACGGGGAGGGACCGATAGGTCCTCCAGTGATTGGTGATACCCCAAATGTTCCCCCCTTTCCCAACATTACATTTGGAGGTCCGTTGAATCAGAGAGACGAGGGCTCGAACCGGATTACTGGTTCGCCAAGGATCACAGAGCGGGCTGCCGATGCCGTTGGGACAGGTGCAAGAGATGGTCGGCTTGCCGATGCACTCGGAATCGAGGATCGTCCGTCGATCGCTAGCCCGTTAGGGCGAGATCCCAGTGACATCGAAACGCTAAGGTCCAGCAACGAGTTCACACCTCAATGGGGATCGACCGCCAGGGAGCGTAGTGCCTCAGCGAAGAGGCCGTCACCCCTCGCCATTGAGACCGATAGGTCAAAGGCGAGGAGGGCTAGCCCTTCACCGTTAGGTTCAACCCGACAGGATGAGGAGATGTTCGATCCTGCTGATGTTCATATCCACTCCACTCCTGAGTCTCGTGCATCCAACATTGATCCCCGATCTGGCGATAGCCGGAGAAGGGGATCTACCCCTAGCAGGCCGTCCAGGATAGGTGATAGTCCTGTAGGCGACCCCAGAAGACATGCTAAAGCTAGTGGGGCTCCTGAGAGGATCGAGATATCGACTCCTCCAGCACACAGGTCCCACTCTTCCGGTGAGTCAGGTGACGCCAGGGCAAAGGAGGTGTTTGATTTGCACATCCAGGAGATGCTCGAGAGGGGTGAGGTGTCTGGTTCAGTCGCAAAAGCGTTCCATATCTTTGCTGACCAAATCAGGTTACTGAACGGTCAGGTGGGTTCCATGCGAAAGGAGTGGAGCGACGAGAATCAGCAGACGAAAGACAAGGTCAATCGTTTGGCGACTGAGGTTGCGACTCAATCTGATGCCGGTAGGATGCGAATGATAGTTCAGCGGTTCGCCAGTGAGATCGTCCCGGATAGCAGGGCCATTGTGAGGCAAGCCATCGATGAACAGGCTGAAGTCGTGGATCAGAGGATCAATTTGCTTTCTCACGAGGTTCATGAATCTGTTAAGGACAATGAAATCGCAACTAGCGAGCTTCGTCAGGTCATTCAGGAGAATCGTGAGGCCACCCGCAGGAGCCATGCTGCTTCCGAGGATGAGATCCATAAGGATTTAGACAAGCTTGAGGGGCGGATGTTCTCGGTAGAGAAAACCGTTGGGATGCGGACGCCAGCAGGTGAATGGAATTTGAATCCTGCTGCGCAACCGCCCGATAGGGCTACCAGCAGTGGAGCAAACGCGAGTTTCAGGGAGTTAAACCTGAAGCTCGAGAAGGTTCTTCTTGAACACGAGAAGTTTGCTAAGTGGGCCTCCGAATCTATTGGTGGTATTAATGAAGAACAAATCATTCTTGCTGATCGATTGTCGAGGCTGCAAAGTGGGAGGGGGTCCCAGGCGGTCGATAGACCATCAGGGCCTGTTTCCCCACAGGACTGGCATGAAGCAGTTGACGAGGTCAATCGAAAGGTCCAGGATCTATCTCGCGGAGTTCAACGCCAACATCGGGATCATGACGATGTCATCGCGAGATTTGAGACCGTGAAGTCCCGTGTTGAGCAGTATGAAGCGAGCTCGGGAATTCTGAATCAAGTTCTTGATGACATCAGAAGGCAGATCCGCAATCTCCCTGCGAATAGTGATCAAGCGCGGTCTGCCGTTAGGCGTGAACTCGATTCATTTCGGGGTACGCTTGAAGGCGCAATGCGGAGAATCACTACTACCGAGAGTAACATACGTACTCTTAATGGAATGAACAACAGAATCATGGCTCAGCTTACTGATATTGAAGGTCATGTTGATGAGGCTGCTGACATTATTCAGGGTGTCCAGGAAAATCAGCAGAATCCTCAAGGACCCAGAGAGAGACGGAATGTTGGTTACAACGCTTTTGCTGGACAGGGACATAGGATCAGGTCTCCGACGCCCACTCCTGGAGAAGGTGACGGTCGGGGTACTGACCTTCCGGTAAGACCGGGCAGGGGTGTTGGTTTGACCGATCACGTTTTGCCAAATGTGCCCGATAGGGTCGATCCTTCTCGTGCAGACAGGCGTCCCATTCATCCCGATAGGGAGAGGGCTGACAGCAGAAGCAGAAGAGCTCGGGGACTGCCTGACAGGTCACATTCCCCGCCAGGGCGTGTAAGGGATGGCCCCCGCGCGCGCGCAAGGGGGGACATTTCGATTTCCCCCAACAGGGATGTGGGTAGGAATAGGAGTCCGGGGCCTGCTGCCGTCCCCGATAGGGGATCTGAGGTCCGGAATCGGCAATCGAGAGGGGACGGGACGATCCGCGATAGCGGGAGCATTTCTCCGAACCCGGACAGGCCGATCCGCGATAGCGGAAGCGTCTCTCCGAACCCTAACCGTAATTCTGGAGGTGATAGGGTGAGTAGGGCCCATGCTGAAGCCCAGAGTCCTGGCGATAGCTGGAGGACTCCTGGGAGTAGAGCTCGTGCCGATATCCAGAGTCCCGGCGATAGCTGGAGGACCCCTGGAACTCCATCCGATCGTGGACAGGCGTCGGCACCGGCCGCAAGAGGAGCTCCAGGTGCCGGTGGCCCAGGTGCGCCAAAGATCTGTGCCCTCGATGATCCCAACGACCGTAGGCACCCGGACGCTGAATTCTCGTGTGTTACGTGCAATCGTGAGTTTTGCAGGCTTTGCCGGGGCGACGATGGGGACTGTTGCAATTGTCACTTCTTGAAGATGAAATGTTGGGCATGTCGTAAAAGTGCCCAGGAGGTCTCTATGTCCTGGACCCCCCACTGGTACAGAAAAAAGTGTACCACATGTTTTCCGCTCGGATTTTAAAAAAGTGCTCGGTTGCACTTGCCCCGCAAAAAAGTGCTCGATTT